GCGCCACCCCACTCTTACGGGGACACTTGCCCTCTGCTCACCTCTCAGCCTGGCCAGGGCAAGGGCGCATCCCTGCAGCACCAGGCTGCAGACCCCGACTATCCGAAGGCATACGGTGGCAGAGCCCTCTCCGCTCAGCCTGCTCGCTGCTGCTAATTTCATGCCCTGTGATCCGGGTAACGCTCTGCTGCCTTGAGCTGCTACCCCCAGGCCTGAATCGCTTTTCTCGCCCTGCAGGAGCCCAGTTGCCTCTGCTGCTGCGGTCTGAAGGTGGGGGCTTGACGAAGCTGCTTGGTGGCATTGTGGGCTCCGAGGCTGCCACAGCTCATGACTAATTCGCTGCACTTATTTCAAAGTGCCCATAATGGTATTCAGGAGAGAGGAAGCTTAAGCAGGGCCTGCCAGAGATAAACGGGTTCATCTGGGGCCTCCCTGCCCGGAGAGACCTCTTTACCTGGATTCTGAGCCCAGAATCGGATTCTTCCAGAAGAGCCGCTTAGCACAGGGCCTCTCGGTGTGGCAGAGTGGAGGAAGTGCTTTCCCTCGGAAAATGGCCTCGCATCTGGCTGGCTTGCTGGCTGGCTCGGCTGGCTTTGTAAATTGCATTTAAAGAGCCCCTCTCCATGTTCCTGGTGTTCACACACTGGGCCAGAGTGTGGCAGATGAAAATGACTTTCCTTATTGCCATTGCAAGTGAATCCAGTGCCCCCTGCTCAGGCTAGAAGTGGCTCATCCACACTCACCTGCCATGGGGAGCTCTGACACTGATCTGCCTTGGGCCAGGGCTGGTCCACTCTTGGGTTTGAGGAGGACTTTGTAGGGGAGGTTGTACAGGCAGGAGAGAAGTCTGAGGGTGGAACCCAGGGCCTCACACATGCCAGACAAAGCCCCCACCACTGAGCCACACTCCCAGCACGTTTTCCTATGAAACATGATCTCGGCTTAGTCACTGTGTCAGTCCATCCCATGTGGCAGATAGGTGAGAGCTTTTCATCTTTGTCTTTTTAACTGCTCAGGTGGGTCCATAGACCTGGGGAAATGCCCAAAGAGACCAGCAATGGGGTTTGAGAGAAGAGACAGTGAATAGATTCCTCTTTCTTGTCCACCCTGCAGGTTCAGGGAAGAGAAACCAACCCCAGCAAGCCCAGGAAGGTGGTGCTGGCTGCCCAGGTGCAGTGTGTCATTGAGAATGGGATCTGGGGCCCCCCTGCTGGATAGTTCTTAAAAAGTCCTCCCGAGGCCACTCCATCCATGGGGACACTGTCAGGAGTGTGGTCCCAGGGAAGTAAGAGGGGAGAGGAAGCGAGGCAATGATGGAGACAGCAAAATACAAGCTTCGAGATCCCTGAGCTGGCCACGGCTTTGCAGCAGAACCCAGCTTAGGCTCATGGGTTGTGTGCAGAGAAGCCCCAGGAGCCAGTGCATTTCAGAACAGTGGTAGGAGAGGAGAGGCAAAAACTTTATTTACCTGCACCTCTCAGCTTCTGCCTCCCATCTCCTGTCTCTCATTGGTCAAAACCGACTGACCTCTGGGATGCTACCACCACCCCTCCACACACACATTCTGGGAGTGTGCCCTGGGTCCTGCCTGGGCAGTAGGCAGGGCAAGCAGATCTGGGTGGCACATAAACTAAATCCAGTTTCTTGAAATCAGTGCATGCCACTTACAAACATTCTAACTTTCTCAAAGGGTTTGGCAAGGGAGGGCTGAAGGGACCAGTGTGCCCAGCAAGCACGCCCTTTGTTTCCTCCCTGGCAAGTGCACTCTCTGTGTCTGGCAGGAAGTTGAGTAAAGGACCATGGTCAGCCATCCTTGTTTTCATCAAGGAACTAAGTGTAAGTTGAAAGAGGAAGACACTGATTAGTAGGAGTTAGCTATCTGAAACTCTTGATGACAAAATATTAGAAACTTAGTGGCTTTTAAAACAGTGCATCTTTACCACATGGTTTCTGTAAGCCAGTGGGTCTGGGTATGACTTAGCTGGGTCTTCTGCTTAAAGCCTCATTCTACACACTCACATTCTAGACACCTGGCAAGGTGTCTGCCAGGCTTCGACTTAGCTGAGGCTCAACTGGAAAAGGGTCACTTCCAAGCTCACTTGTGTTGTTGGCAGAATTCAGTGCCTGTGACTATAGAAGTAGGAGCAAGAGCTTTCCGTTTCTTACAGGAGACCACCCTCAGCAACTTGGGGTCACTTATAGTTCCTTGCCACATGGGGTTCCTCAACATGGCCACCTGGTTTGTCAAAGTCAGCCAGGGGGGGAAACAGAGCCAAGCAAGACAGGTGCCACAATCTTCCGTAACATCACCACGTAATGATGTCACGTGATCATGTATACCTGTCACCTGGGCTTTATTCTCTCAGTTTCCAAGTCCCCTTACACTTGGAAAGGGGATTGTATCAGGGTGTGAACACTGTGAATGTGGATTATGGGGCTACGTGAAGAGTCTGTCCCCACACCTCATTTCACTAGAACTCTCTATAAAAGCAGCAAATAATTAAGAAAAAAAATCATGTCTTTGAATCAGGATGAAGTTTTAAAAAACAGTTCCATAAAGTGTGAGAACCAGCCTTCATCACCACCTGCAACTTCCTGTCTATATTGATGGAGTGATGGTGAGACCTCAAGTTCATCCTCCTCACTGGCACATTCTGTGTAAAGCAGAGAAATGGGCTCAGTCAACAGAAAGGAACTCAGAGTCTTATTGAATTGTCAATATTTTAAAAGCTTTCCAACATTAAAAGACACAGCTTTCTGCTTGACTATCAAGAAACCAGAACATTCAGTTAGCTGGAAAATCTCCATCCCTAAAACATTCAGAGAAGCCGAGCCCACTCAGAAAAATAAAAACATTTTCTATGCCATGTGATAGCTGTTCCCAGACTTGTCACTGATTGAGTGGCCACCAGATGAAGGTGGTCTGCCAGGGGTTGGGCTCCCAGGAGTCCCAGCTCCCCTCTGCAGCCCTTGATTCCTGACAGCGGGTCTCCACTGCTCCCCCAGTGCCTGCCTGCCTCACGTGGATCCAGCCATTGTGTCAGGACATAATTGGCTGACGGTCCCAGACCAGTCCAGGCTCTGCTGAGCCCATCAAAACTGGGACAATGAGGTGGCCCCTCAAAGGCAAAGGCTATTTTTAAGGCTCGTGGTTGATGGACTGCACTAGCAGGGATTACCATTTTAATTGCAAGGCCACGGCGACCTGATATTCAGGGTACAGATTTCAAAGAGCACAAAGCCCTCTGCAGGCTTCAAAGGGGCTGTGGAAAGGTCTGTGCTTCAGACCAGTGAGATCCGTGACGACACTTTTCTTTGTTGGTCTCCAAGTTGCAGCCTAACTAAATCTGACCCTCTTTCAAGATCTGAATTCAGTCCCAACTCTTCTGGGACCTCCTTGAGCCCATGTTCATTCCCCTTTTGTTCAGGGCTTGCCCACTCTCCTGCCTGGAACTACTTAAAGCTTCACAGCGCTCCTTCCTCTGATTTGCCAAAAACAAAACACCTAGCACAGAATTCTGACGTTCTTCTCTGGTGTCGGGAGCTGCTGAGAAGCTCTCACACTCTGTTGCACTCCTGTGGAACACACTCTGTTTGTAATGGGCGAGAAGCTCATCTTGCCAGGCACCAGTGGCTTCTGCCTGTATTCCCAGTTACTCAGGAGACAGAAATCAGGAGCATCACGGTTCAAAGCCAGCCCGGGCAAATGGTTTCATGAGACCCTATCTCGAAAAAAACCTTCACAAAAAAAGGACTGGTGGAGTGGCTCAAGGTGTAGGTTATGAGTTCAAATCCCAGTACCAGTAAAAATAATAAATAAATAAAAACCACAAAAAAAGCTCATGTTGGGCTCTTTTCTGATTCCCTCAGCAGGTCTTGTGGACACTGCAAGTGCTTTGCACAGGTTCTTTACACATGGGACATGTGTCCTCAGTTAAGTTATATTTCCCAGGCTTTCCAGAGTGGCATACTCACAGCTTCTTTTTGCTCCTTTAGAGTGAAATGGTGTAACTCACAGAAATCCCTTGCATTTGTTCCACTGTAAATGCTTAATAGCTATGAGCTCTCAACATGGCTTAGGGTTCATCGTTACCCACTTGGAGTTCATGGTTTGACTTACATTGATTAAAACCAAGCCAAGATAGACAGGCTTTGCCTGTGGGTTTTTTTGTGTTTGTTTGGCAGTGCCAGGTATGTGACCTAGGACACATATGCTAGGCAAATCCTCTGTCACTGAGCCTCATGCCCGGCCCCCTCTGGTGTTTACTTTTGAAAGACAGGTATACCAAGGGCTCACACACACAGTCAAATCCATCCTAATGTGTGGGCAGTAGTCGGAGTCTTGACAAAATGGCCAGTTTGCACACTGCTTCCTTGGCTCAGGAAATTCCTCATCCTGTGGGTTCATCAGTCTCCATCAGATCCCTGAGCTGCTGCTGAGGGATCTTTCCTCATCCAGGCTAGTCCAGGAGACACTTTCTCAAATGGCTTTTTCCTTCTGAAGCCTCCCAGTGGGGGAAGCTTGGGGTATTCCTCATGGGTCTTGCCTGGCTTTGAGAACTTGTGAATGCTATTAAGTCAGAACAAAACCCCAGTGGTTGATTGCATTTTGGCCATGAGCCAACAAGTTTAATAGGGCAAAGCTTTTCTTTTTAGACACATGAGTCCCGCCCCCATTGCCCCTATCTTTGGGTGGGACAGGTGCAGTGGGTAGGACTGTGGGCCTTTCTGGAGACAGAGACACATCAGATCTTTCCCTGTGACCCTAGCACTTAGAATAGGTAAGTGTTAGCACAGCTGATGTCAGCAGGTGTTGGTTGAGTGACCAACTGAGCATCTTAGGTTGGAGATGGGAGTTGACCATGTGACTTATCTACAGCTCCTCATGTCTGGGAACTGAGGAGCAGCCTGTCACCAGGGGTACCCTGTACTGGTCTGGGGCATATTCCTCATCTCCATCCCTGAGTGACCGCAGCTGTCTCCTTGCTATGTACTTCCAGAACTACTTTGAGAGCTACCTTGCCATCGCCTCCAACGCACCCTCTTTGCTGTGCCTCTTAGCCAACTTCCTGCTTGTCAACAGGTAAGCCACCTTCCTCCCTCCCTGACCTCCACCCTCTGCCTCCTCCCCTGAACCCACAATAGCTTTTTTTTTTTGCTTAAATGGCAGCCACCAAAGTAGGAGGCAGGCAGCTCAGAATTGTCCTTGCAGGTCAGAAATTAGGTCAGGTACCTGGGGTGCCCAGGGAGAGGCCAGGTGCTCACCTCCAGGCATTCGCAGGGACATCAGTCAGCAGCCAGCAGGAAGTGTGTGGGGACACATGGTTGTCTCCCCCTCTTAAGGCGCCTGTCTGGCCACAGGCCTTGTGGCCCAGGGCCACCACACAGATGATGCCGGGAGCAAGACCTGTGGAAACTGGCCTTCTACGAATTCTTAGAGCAGCTGGACACTTAAGGAAACTTGCTGCTCTGATGTCACTGTGCAGGAACGGGTCACCTCACCTCCCCATGCTATTCTGACAGCACCAACTGTGTGCCACCACTTGCAGTGGGGACTCCTGACATTTTCTTGGTAATGGTGGGAACAGGCTCCTGGGTGCACTGTGGAAGAAAGAATTACTTAGAAGAGCAGCAAGTTAGCATGCCTATGGACCCCCTGCGGGACCCTCATGGGAGCAATAGCCCTAGCTACTTTGCCTATATTTCTCCAAGGCTGCCACTAAATGGTAATGGCGGCTTCTTTATGATCCACAAAGAAGCTACGCTTGAGCATTGCCCACAGAAACCTTAAATCACAGATGGCAAATCTGTTTTCCTCAGCTCTGATCAATTTAAGATGAGACCCTGTTCTCTGACTGAATAAGATTTGAAGGCACATCTGGCCTCAGGGAGTGTGCTGTGATTGATTAGTGATGTCTGCTGTGGGCACAGGAGGAGAGAGACCACATCTGAATGGACTTAGCAAACGTATCATTCTGTAGGGCTGTACAATGATCATTGTTGTATAATACAGTCCAAAAGCACAGTGGCTTGAAACAGTAGCAACAATTAGTTTCTCTCATGTTCTGAGATCTGAGAGGCTCAGCTGGCAGCTCTGGCTGTGTCCCTCATGCGAGCAAGCGTTGTCAGATGGCAGCCGAGGCTGGAGCCCTCTCATCCTCTTCCTCTTCTCTTGTCTCTCCTTATGGTCTCTTACATGGGGGCCTCAGGGTAACAGGACAACTCACATTGTGGCTGAATAGCAAATGCTCCAAGAGAGCCAGGGAGAAGCCACATGGAGTTTACATCCTAGTTAGAAGCCACATGGTGTCACTTTTGCTGCCATTGACTGTTCAAAGCCATCACAAAGACCACTGCATTTCAAGGGGATATAGACCCCACCTCACCATGGAAGGAGTTTCAATGAATTTCCACCCCTCTGAAACCCAGGTATAGTCTGGAAGGGAAAGGAAAGGCACTCAGACAGGCCCAAGAGTTTAAAACAGCCCCTGTAGAAAGCCAGCTGGCCCCTGATCTCACTTCCTGACTCTCAGGACTAGAGTCAGTGTCCTCCCAGAGGGTGTATACTGCAGAGACCCCACTTCAGGAGGAGGGGGAGCCGACCAGAGCCGACCCAGGTGTTCACTCAGCACTGCCAGCTCCTGGGGGCAGAGCAGAGTTCCTGACTGCACCTAGCAGGAGAGAGGAAAGGAAGGGCATGCAAGAGGAGAGCGAGGAATCCCCTAGCCTCACGCTGCCCTCTTTCCTTCTAGGCCTCTCATGAACTTGCTCTGTGTCTGTCCCCCAGGACAGGGGTGTTTGCCAGCTGAGATAGCCCAGACTGGCAAAAACCAGAGCTCCTGTCCCCTCTAGATCCAGAGTCACCATCTGAATGGTACCAAGGCTACAAAGCCTCAGATTACCCTTTACTGTGTCCCCCAGGATTCACAGTGACCCAGGAAGGACATGTGACATTACCTTGTTTTCCATGTGAAGGCCAGGGATGTGCTGAGACCCCAGGGCTGGTACAGGATAACCCAGACTGTATCTCCCCTAGAACTGAGTCCTTGGTGGTTATGGAAGCCCAGGACTGGGGTCAGCACAGGCAGCAAGGTCCAGCCTTGGGGACCTGGTAGAATGACCACCATCTAGAAGAATAGTTAGAACTTCCAAGCAGTTAGGTCCTGTAGGTATGGTACCTTGGCACCTGCCAGCAGGAAATTGTGTGGCCCCGCTTGAGGATGGCCCCAGTTCACATGGCCATTAAGGATGGAGCCAGAATTTGTTCCAGCTAGGGACCTTCTTACCCCTCACCTGGGCTTAGCACCTCTGGGCCACCTGTCTCCTGGTCCCCCAGCTTTGCAGCACCCCCTCCCCAGGCCTCAGGCTGCAGGGCAGGAAGGAGGTCACGAGGAAAGGGAGTGGCAAAGAGATGACACAGTGGTACGGCTCCTCCTCTAGGAGGGTCCAGGCCACCGGGGGCCTGCCCTGGCCTTACCTGGGCTCTAAGAGAGGGCTGAGAGCCATGTGGGAGAATGCTCTCAGTCCTCCACCTGTTTCTAGGCTGTGGGAGGACAGTTGGGGGCTAAGCTGTTTTTTATTTAATGTGTGAGATAGAAATGTCTCCTTCTTCCCACCCTGGAGCAGCCTGGCTTTCCCAGACTGGCTCATCCATAATCACCAAGTGTTTTATTATGTTAAATCTCCAGCATCGTAAACACTTATAAAGAGGATTTACATTTTGGAGACTTATGAAGAAATCAGTCCCCTGGGGTCCTGAGCCCTCACTGGCAAGGGGGATGGGGACTGGTAGCCTGGGTAAAGCTACAGCATGGCCTGCCCCTAGGCTGTTGGCCTTGGTGGTCACCTTGGCTATTATACCCTGTCCCCATAAAGGACCCTAACACCCAGGCACCACTTGCCTAGGCTTTCCCTAGCATCCCAAGAGCATTGCCATCCCAGGCTACTCTCCCTGCAGAGGTTGGGTGCATAGCGGGGGGCCAGTGTGTCCTGGTGGTACCCTCAGGGTGGACTTCAACCCTATACCTGGCATCATACTTTGCGACCACTGGAAAAACAGCTCCAGGTGGGGCCCCAAGGGCCTGGAGCCTGCAGATGGAGACTGTGCCAAGAGTAGCAGGCAGTGAGTAATGAGGAGGTACTCAGAGCCCTGGGCAGGTGTGAGAACTTATGAGGCGACCTGAGTAAGAAGTCCCCCAGTTCTTTGTAAAGCCACTTTCTTGTTCAAGCAAATAATTACCTTGTAGTGACAGGCACCCAAGAGGACTTCTGTGACACATTCCCCCCCGACCTTTTTGTGTCTGGAGGTAGATGTGGATCCCTGCCATGCTGAGAGCAGCAGGAAGGATGGGGGTGGAGAAGCAGGTGGCAGCTGGGACATTTAGGGCAGTGAGAAAAATGCCCCTGCATTTCTGCTACACCTTTCTGGTCAGCCCATGCATTCAGGAAATATTTTCCAGGTACCCCTCGGAATCATTAAAACTTTTTGGCCTTTGTCCCCAACCTCTGTCTCTACTTGAATTTCATCAGATTTAGAATCATGAGTGTTAGGGACTTTAATATCATCTAGTTCAGCCCCTTCTTTTTAGAAATGGGGAGACAGAGGCACAGAGAGGTTGAATATTGACTGAAGTCGCACAGTGACAGATGGCAGATCTGGACAGAGGGTTGCTGGCTCTTAGCTTGGGGGTGGATGCAGCAGTTCTAGCTGCCAAGAGAAGCTGGGGCTCCTGTGTGGCAGGGTTAAGTGCAGGATCACACTGAGTATGAGGGCTAAGGTTTGGCCTGTATGTCAGTTCTAGGAACAGTGCAGGCCCTGTATGGCTTAAGTGCTGATCCCTGACCCAGTCCCAGTGGCCAAAAGCACAGACACTCTGATCACCCAGCTATGTGCCCTACCTGTTGTTTGAGGCTGGGCTAGTTAGCATGGCTCCTCAGGACAACGTGGCATGGGGAACTTTCCCAGAGGAAGGATGCTGGGTGCTTCACTCCCCACCCCCGGGGAGGGGATCACTTAGCGTGGAGCACATAGCACTTGCTGCTGTCCTGAGTCCTGCACACCGCACAGTACCTGACTCAGTAGTTGCTCAGAACATGTTTGCAGAATGAGCCCACCCCCATGACGGTAGCAGACTGACCCATGGCTGGGGCTCAGCACACCTAGGCTCCCATTCTAGTTACCTGTGGACTCCATCTGTGGTCTTGAACTGTGCCTCACATCCTCAGGGTTCACTCTGCAAAGCACAGACCACCTCTGCTCACCCTGAAAGACTGGTTAGCCTGGGGTAGTGAACACACAGTGCAAACAGCTGTTCTGGCTTTCCTCATTCATCATTTCTCACCTGTTAGGTACATATGTCCTTATTTTTCTGCCTTTCAAGTTTATCTTTTTTTTTATGGTGTTAAGCTATCTATTCGATATCTTTTTCTTTTAGTGGTTCTGGGGTTTAAGGTCTCGGGCTTGCTAACCAGGTATTCTACCACTTGAGCCATACCCCCAGCCCTGGTCTCTCTCTCTCTCTCTCTCTCTCTCTCTCTCTCTCTCTCTCTCTCTCTCTCTGTCTCTCTCTCTCTCTCTCACACACACACACACACACACACACACTGGTTAGCAGGAAAATGAACTAAAGATCCAATTCTGTTTAAAGCATAATCTGATCTGATGGTTCACACAGCCTTGAGATGGTTCTCCAACAGTCCTTCCCTGCTCTCCTCCCCTGGCAGGTGGAAGCTGGGCAGAGTGCATGGCTTGGATGCTTCCATGCAGGTAGGGCCCTGGCCCTGGGCTGCACTAGTATGACCTCAGCAACTGCCATCAGAGGCCATCTGGGAGAGTCCCCAGCCCTGGCCCCTGTTCTGTGCCACCCAGACTCCCTTATCCCAAGGGAGGCAACAGACTGCAGCCAGGCCTTCTGGAGTCAGAGCTGAGTGACCTCGAGCAAGCTCCCTAACCTCTCTGATCTCAGTTCCTTACCCACGTACCTGGCATAGGGAATAATAGCTATCTTACAGGGCTGGACTGTGAACAGGGTAGCATGTAGAAAACCTTTAGAAGAGCACCTGCCTCAAATTAAGGGCCACATCACGATGAAGATGATGAAGATTCTCTTACCCGCCCCCATGCCCAACTGCTGAGATTCTGCGAAGGAGGCCAAGGGCTGGTTGCTCAGTTTGAACACTAGACCAAACCAGCAGGAGCCCAGCCCTGCGGCAGGAGGATCAGGGGCTTACCTGACACCCTGCCTTTGAGCCCCACAGCAAGGCAGCAGGCAGTGGTATGTCCACTAGCGTCTGCCCTGCGCTGGGCTCCCCCCACCCCCACCCAAGGCCTCAACACCCTGGTGAGGTAGAGTGACCGTTCCTGTGGGACAGGGGCAGGCGTGGAAGCCAGGGCGCTGACTCACTTCCTGAGGCCACACGCTGGTGAGCAAGAAGGCAGGATTCAAACTCGGGCCCTGACCGCAGAGCGGCCGTCTCCCACTGAGCTTGCCTCCTCCCTTAGACAGCCCCCCAGATGGCCCTCCCCTGCCCGCGGGGTGTCTGACTTCTTCCGCGGTCCCTGCCCCAGGGTTCCAGTCCGTGTCCGCGTCCTGGCCTCGCTGGCCACCACGCTGGCCATCTTCGTGGCGATGGCCGTGCTGGCGAAAGTGGACACATCCTCCTGGACCCGAGGCTTCTTTACTCTCACCGTCATCTGCACGGCCATCACCAGCGGCTCCTCCACGGTGCTCACCAGCAGTGTCTTTGGCCTGACGGGCCGCTTCCCCATGAGGAACGCCCAGGCGCTGATCTCAGGTGAGAGCCAGGCACATGGCCACCAGCCATAGGAAGGAACCCAAGGTGAGCACAGGTGGCCCTTCCAGAAAAGGAAAAGTGTGCTAGTGTGGCTCAGTTTCCTACTGTTGCGGAACAAACCAGCCCACACTTAGTGGCTTAGAGTCGTTTATTTTGCTCACAAGTCGGCAGTTTGGGCAGGGGTTGGTGGGGACAGCTCGTCTCTGTTCCACAGTGTCTACAGGGACAGCTCCCTTGGGGGTTGGGGGGGCGCCACTCCAAGATGGCAGCCAGTGGCTTCTGCCCCTCCACACGTGGACCTCACCATGGCTACCTTTGTACATGGTGTCTGGGTCACGGAGCATCCTCAAAGGCCCAGACAGCTGTATTTTGATGTAGCCATTGAAACCATGTAGGACCACTGCCACCACAGCTGCTAAGACCTAGACTCAAGTCACAGAGCCACATGTCTTGTGGAAGAGGGGAAATGAAGTACAGCAGGTGAGGGGAGACAGTTGTAGCATTTATAGAAGACACAATCTACCTTCACAGTGCCATTTCTGAAACCAGCCTCCCTCTCCTTCCTTCCTTTCCATCCCTGTTCCCTCCCTTCTCCTGTTCCTTTTCCTTTCCCTTTGTTTTCCCCTTCCACTCCTTTATCCCCCATTTTTATCCCTTCTTCCTTCCTATCTGTCTTTTCTTCCTTTGCAGTTTGAGGGAGGACCACCTTCTCTGTGCTGAGGACCCAAACATGAACAAGACTATGTCCTCTCAGAGTTGATAGCCTAGTGAATAAACTCCTCGGTCATCTGGACTATGGCACCTGTGGGTTTGCTCGAGCCTCACTTAGGCTTGACCCTTCTAACTGAAGCTTTGATGCTGGTGCTAAGCTTGTTATTGGGATCTTGGCTATTTTTTCTCTCACCCTGATGACCCCACAAGGTAAATGGAGCTGGGTCAGTTAGCATCTGTGCCTTACCTGAGACTACCATCCCCTAAAGCAAGCCTGGAGGCTCTGCTGCTCTGTGTCCCCATGTGTCCCTGCCATGCAGAGGAATGCTTTAAATATACGCCTACCTGAGAAGAATTGTACAAAGAAGCGGTGCTGGGCACATTCGTTAGTAATGCCAGCTAGGACGTGGCGGGGATGGAGAGTGCCCTGACAAGGGGATATGCCCCCCTGCCCCGTGCCAGTGCCAGACATCACTAATAGAGCTCTGTCTTTCCTCCTGAGCCTCTAAATCCCTCTCAAGCCAGCACTTGAGGCGGTTACTCTCCACGGATCGGAGCGTAGATGTGAGCTCCATCTCTGCCATTTTAGATATAGGATTAGGCTTTTGGCTCTCTCCTGGGAAACCCTTGAGCCTAAAATGAAATAAAAATGAACTCGTTGCCAAGTTTCCTGAATACAGCCAGCATGCCCCTAGCAATGCTTTAAGAAAAGCACATCTGGGCAGAGGGAATGGCCATCAAACATCAACCCCACCCTCCAGCCGTCTCCCTCCACCTACCGAGGAGGATTTCTCAGTGCCTCTCCAGGAGCAGCGGCCACGCGCCATTTGTGTTAGACACGGCCCTTCCAGTCCATTCTCCACCTGCAGATCTCTAGGGAAGAAGAGACTCCTGTGAATTTCCAGAAACTTCATTTTTGAAGAGGGGGCGGAAATGTGGGACTTCCACTCATTCCTCATTACCCAGGGCCCTGAACCCTTGTCCTCACTGTATGTTGCTCCCCATGGGTGCCCGACACCCTGGACCATCCAAGGTGTCCCCATCTCCCAGAGGCCCAGGCCCCCTTGTTTTTTGCCCATCTGTGAATTCTGCTCTTGTAGGCATCTGAGGAACAGTTCATTTGTTTTGCACTCGCGTTTTTTTAAAACCCTCATTTGCATGTATTTCCATAACCGATGAGATAAAAGTAGGGAGTCATGAAGGATGAGCTCCCTGAGGCCTGGTTGGTGTTGACGATAATATTGTAAATTCTCTACAAGTTGGAAGGAGAGGGGGAATCAGTCGGAGACGTTAACATCTCTTCTTCAGGGCAGCTGCCGAGTGTCTTCCTGAGCATAACCCCACTTCTTACAGAGCATCCAGGGGGGATTACAGCTTCTCAGAAGTGGGCACCCTCTTGGCAAAGGGCTTACCCATTGTTGCTGCTTTGATGTGAGACGGACAGGAATAGCCAAATACCTAATTGGGAATCAGAGAGGATTTATTTGGTATTTGGCACTTGTTAGCATCAGGCACTATCTTACATGGAATAATCCTTTCAATCCTCATGACAGCCTTAAGGGGTAGGTATTATTAACACCCCCATTTAAGAGATGAGCAAACAGAGGCACGGAGAGGTGAAGGGACTTGCCAAAGGTCACACAGCTAGCAGTAAAAGAGCTGGCACTGAGTGTTCTAATTCTAGAGACTTCTCTTAATCACCGTGCTACTTTGTATCTTTGCCTTCCCTCAAGACCCCACCCTCTGGCCCTACCCAGGTTAGTGTAACACATTCTGGGAAAGTTAAGGGGAAGAATTGTCCACCAGGACCAGGGGCTTCCTGTGGCACCACAGAAAATTGGACACACACAGTGTGTTGGGGGCAATGATGGTGGGTCATGGTGGATCCATCCCACTTAGTCCTCAGGGTCATAGGGAGCACGTGGTAGAGTCAAGGTCAGATGTGCATCCATTTGGCTATGGAGTGATGATGGGAAGACACTAGGCAGCAGTGAGGCGTGGCGGCCTCACAATCACATGGGTACTGTATGTCAAAGCCCATGGCAGAGCCAGCATTCTATGTGGTGTGGTGGTTGCAAGCTTGTATGTGTGTGTGAATGTGAGAGTACATGTGGGTATTGTGTGTGCGTGTCACAGGTGTGCACTGTACAGCCATCTTGGGGTACGGGAAAGTTCTATGACAGTAGGGTTTATAGCCAGGAAGGACTTCCCCAGATGAGATAGCCTGGGAGGCAATGGGCATTGCACCAGGACATTCTCTGAGCCGCTTCCCCATGTGGCTGGTAGGTTGTTTGTGCCAATGGCTAAGAAAAGGACATCGAGAGTTCTCTGAGCCTCTTGCCCCTGATTTCGGATCCTACAAGCAGGGCAGTAACGAGAGATGGAGGTCAGGGTCAGAGGTGACCCAGGATAGGAACAGACAGGTGGAACCTCCTTGAAGGTCAAGTCAGAAAGAAGGGCCTGGGCCGGAGACATGGAGCAGCCCCACCCCCTGAAACTCCCGAACTTGGCCTGCAGGACCCCAGTCTGCCTGGCTTCAGGATACTGTAAGTGATAGGTGCTTTTCCCACGGGGGAATTGTTTGGGTATGAGCAGAGCCCACAGCCACATGTCTCCCTGTGTCCGTGTCTCACCATCTCCCTGATGCTCTCTGACTCTGCAGGAGGAGCCATGGGAGGGACCATCAGCGCTGTGGCCTTGCTGGTGGACCTGGTGGCATCCAGTGATGTGAGGGACAGCGCCCTGGCCTTCTTTCTGACAGCTGCCGCATTCATAGGGCTGTGCATGGGGCTCTACCTACTGCTACCCCGGCTGGAGTATGCCAGGTAAGGGGCTCCCCCACCAACCCCTCTGGCTTTGTTTGTGGACAGTGACAGCTGGCCAGTGTCTACTTGCATTCTTTCTCATCGTATCCTGTTTATTGCCTGCCCCCTGGAGTGTGAGCTCTGTGAGGGCAGAAGCTTGTGTGAATTTTGCTCACCACTGTTTCTCAGGGCCTCCAGCTGGGCCTGCCTTGTGGCATTTGCTCAGTAAATTGACTGTGGATGGAAGAAGCTGGCTCTGGGAGTCCCCCGGGCAGTTGCAGTCTGCAGTTTAGGAACAGGGAAGACAGGAAATAGAAGTGAGGCCTGAGCTACAATAATAAGGAACAATAGTTCCATTCCCTGACACTCCCTGTTCCAGGGGTGGCTCAGCCTGGCTGCAGGTGCCATATGTCATTTAATGTTTGCATACCCTTGTTACTCTGGGGTTAGTCATTGTTATCTACTGTTATTCCTATGCACAAATTAGAAACTTAGGGATTAGAGCAGTCAGGCTTCTTGCCTAAGTTCCCCAGGATTTGAACAGGACTCCAAACCTCCACTTTTAACCACTCCAGCTGGTGGGTTGCCTTCTACCATCCTGGACCCCATGAGTCTCTCACTTTCCCTCTCTCGTCCTCCTGGGCCTTTCTTGCTCCCTCTGCTCATTAAACACTTAAGCTGGATTTCTCTAGTGTGGGATTTGAACTCAGGGCCTACACCTTGAGCCATTCCCAGCCCTCTTTTTGTAATGGGTTTTTTTCAAGATAGGGTCTTAAGAACTATTTGCCCAGGCTGGCTTTGAACTGCAGTCCTTCTGAGTAGCAAGGATTACAGCCAGCACCTGGCTCTCCAGTGTTTTATTCACTGCAGAGCCTTTATCTTATCTGATATAGGGAAGGCAGGAGGTCAGGCAGGTGCTGAGATCAAGTGTCAGCCAGGCCAGCAGCCAGTGGACCACTGGGTGAGTTGGAGGGCTAGAGGAGCCTGGCCTGACTCTACCCTTTCCCACTAGAAGACTTTTTGTTGTCGTTCTGTTGCTGTTTGATTTGTTTATTGAGTCAGGGTATCACTATGTGGCTTGAGCTGGCTTGAAACTCTTGCTCCTCCTGCCTTAGCCCCCAAAGTGCAGGAATTCCAGGTGTGCACCACCACACCCATTCTTTGCAGTGGCACTGAGCTAAGACCTTAGGTGTATGTGTTTATGACAACTTCTGGTGTGTTTTCCCACTTTACAGATGAAACTGAGGTCTTGGGGAGTTAATAGCTGTGGTCTGTGGCTCACCTGGTAAGCCCAGGCAGATATTTGACCTTAGGACTTGTTTCTGGAGCCATGTCCTGCAGTGAACTTGGCCCACGACATGGAGGGGCTTTCCTCCTACCCGCTGACGGGGGTTACCTTGTTAATCTCCAGAGCCCTCTGCCTTCATGGAAACCCAGTTCTACCTGCCTTCCTTGGCTATAGGGCTGTTCGTCACTTCAGCTGGCTGCAGTGTCTTCAGGAGAAAAGGGACCAGGGTACTGGTAACTGGTACCTTGCAATGTCCCAGGCATCTACAGACCATAAGCCAAACATCACCTGGTGGGGCTCTGTGACATCCCTGTGGTTCCTGAGGTTGGCTGGCTCATTGGTCCCCCCAGCACCCCTACACTTCTGGCATCTGGTTATGCACATAATGTCACCTGAGTCTCTGAATGACCCAAAAGGTCCTGTCATTTCCCCATGACTATTTCAGGGTATTCAGGGTTGGTCTGCTTGCAACCTCACCCGTTTACCTGAGACCCCAGCACTAAAGCCAGGACAATCTCATGAGAAGCAGGATGGTTGGTCAAGACCTTGCAGTTGAGCCCTGGAGGCCTCGCAGGGCCCTGCCTCCCTGTGCAGGCTCTGTTCCTTTGCTGATTAGACCTCAGGCTCCAAGTCCTGGGTTTGCAGAAACCCAGATGAGAGTCCTCGTCTGAGGATGGATTAGAGCTGTGCCGCTGGGGCTGAAAGACTAAGTCCTACTTCAAAGGAAGCCACCCAGATTGCACTCAGGAGGGCAGGATGAGGCAGGAGAACATGGAAGAACCTGTGAGCAGGCGCTTCCAACAGAGGACCTTGGTGGCCCCTTCCACACAGCAGGCTTCAGGCAAGGCCCTGGTGCTGGGTAGAGAGGGAAGCAGGACGGTTCCTTTCTCTAAATGGTGATTGTGAGACAGGACGGTTCCAGGCCAGGCCCACAGTGCAGTGTCACAGGGAGGGTGACCTCCAGAGCCTCCTCCTGAGACTCGATTGTCAGCTCTAGGCTCTTAGGTTGAGGAGACGGGCAGGGACTTCAGAACTTCATGGCTCTGTAAAGCTTCCATCTTACAGAGGAGGAAACTGAGGCCCACAGAGGGGTGTGCCTGCCCAAGGTCATACAGAGAGGCAGAAGCGAGGCTGAAATCAGACCATGCTGAGTCCCACACACATGCACACCAAGCCCTTCTGATTGAACTGTGTTAATATAGCCAGCCTATGCCCCTGTTTTTCAGATACTTGAGGCCCAGAAAGGTTGAGAGGCTCAAACCCAGGTCACACAGCAAGGTAAAGTGAGCTGAGCTGAAGTTGAAAAGATTGATGATGCCTGGCGTTGAGGAGAAGCTACTGAACAGTTCTTTCCACACTTAGGTTTTGAGGGCTACTGTGCCTCGAGGTTTATCTATACAAAACCAAACGTAAGCCCTGCCCTAGGAAGCTGTCTTCTACCAAAGGACACACATGATAAGACAGTAGACTAATGAAATGATTATGAATTGTGGTCAGATTTTTTTAAAGAAAGAAACATGCTCTCATGGAGATTAACAGAGCAGGTTACTTTACTTAGGGTAGGCAAGTGGTACAGAACACAGATTTCTATTTGAAGAGCAGTTTACATCAAAAACTTTAAGGTACAAACCTTTTAATTCAGTGATCTACACTTGCAGGAAGCTGCCCTACCAAAATATTAGGGCATGTGGGCAAGGATTTATGTATGGAGTATGCATTGCAAGATGACTTGTAGTGTGAAAAACTGGAGTCAACCTAAGTGTCCATCTATAGGGGAGCAGTTAAAGTGGATGTCCTACCTTAAACTGTGATGCAGCAACACAACGGAGACATACGTATGTGTCCCGTGTGAGAGGATGGCCACAGGCGGCATCTAGACAGTCATATGTGAGTGTTTATGAATACTAGTTATGCCTGATTCGGCACCTGTACATTTCTGTATTATCTGTGTAATGTATTTAGGCACACAGTTACAGAAAGTCTCACAATGCACATAATTTGGTCCCACTTCTGCTTCAGAGATAACTTTGTGTGTATGTGGTTTTTGCATGTGTGTTGAACATAATCTACCTGGTCGTCAATGGTTAGGACCACGGGAGGTGGGGATCAAAGGTGAGAAGAGGTAACTGTCTACCATTCACTTTCTTTCTGTATTTTTACAGCACATGGCATCAAACGTGTCGCTTTTATATTTACAGTTTTTTGGACATTTTTTTTGGTGGTACTAGGGCTTGAACTCAAGGCCTCTGCTTGCTGGACAGGAGCTCTACCACTTGAGCCATGCCTCCAGCCCAAATTCTAGAATCAAACAGGTGAAGGAGGGCGGAGTGTCAGCTCATTGTTTAGTGGATAGGGCTCGTTTCTTCTGTTTCTGCTCCTGGCATGGTCACCACCACTGACTGAGGGTGGTGCCGGCTGACTGCAGTCCAGCCTGGTGGGCCTGCCAGGGACAGTGGCAGGGACTCTGGCCACCGCCCCATTCATTATCTTAGGGAATCCTAGGTTGGGGGGGTGCCCTCTGGGGCTTATGCTTCCTGTGCTGAGCCTAAGGGTGCTGTTCTACCACAGCTGTGCAGATCTGGGGTCTCCTGCTCTGTGTCCCTGGAAGTCCCAAGCAACCTGCTCATGGTGGCCCTCTGTCCACACTGCTCTCCTCTCTGCAGGTACTACACAAGGTCTGCTTATCCATCCCGTGTGTTTTCTGGTGAAGAGGAGCTGTCACAGGACTCCCCCAGTTCCCCCTTGGTGGCTTCTGTTTCTCAAGAGTTGCATATTCCGCCCCTCCGGCCCATCCTGAAGAAGACTGCTGGCCTGGGCTTCTGTGTCATCTATGTCTTCCTCATCTCTGGTCTCATCTTCCCTGCCATCTCCACCAACATTGAGTCCCTGCACAAGGACTCCGGCTCACCATGGACCACCAAGTTCTTTGTGCCACTCACTGTCTTCCTCCTGTACAACTTTGCCGACCTGTGTGGCCGGCAGATCACAGCCTGGATCCAGGTGCCTGGCCCCAAAAGCAAGGTGCTCCCTGCGTTGGTGCTTCTGCGCACCTGCTTTGTCCCCCTCTTCGTGCTCTGTAACTACCAGCCCCGCCTCCATCTGACCGTAGTGCTCTTCCAGTCTGACCTCTATCCTATGTTCTTCATCTGCCTGCTGGGGCTCAGCCACGGCTACCTCAGCACCCTAGCTCTCATCTATGGGCCCAAGATCGTGTCCCGAGACCTGGCCGAGGCCACTGGGGTGGTAATGTCCTTCTACATAAGCATGGGCTTGATGCTGGGCTCTGCGTGCTCAGCCCTTGTGGAACACCTCATCTAGGAGCGGGGAGCAAGAACATTGGTGCTGCACAAGACTCGGGCCCTGGGAGTTCGATGGGCAGGGCGGCAGGGGCTCAAATGCTAAGAGGGAGGTGCTGGCTCTTTACTTGGTGCAGAAAATCACATCCGGCCTCCCTCGCTCCTAGGATGCTGGTGAGCTACATCCTTGCCTGGCCTGTGCAAGGAGACACTGCACACACTTCCACAGGACACTCTGGAGCCACACATGGACAGGGCATCACCTTCAGAGCCAATGAGTCACCTTGTGTGACTCCTGAGTTGTCACAGGGCCAGAATTCACTGACCCTGTAATCCACTGGCATCTGTAATCTCCAGCCTCACTCCTTCCAGCTGACACCAGGAAGGGAGCAAATTCTCAGTCCTTCCTACTCTGAAGGGAACACCTGGATTTGAAGTCCCCATGAAATGGCCAGTCCTCAGCCCCAAGACACACTTGCTCTAGTCGCTGTGCTCTGAGAGTGCCCACCAACCTGACGAGAAAGCCCAGAAAGATGCTTCCCAAACCCTTCCTGGCCTCAGCTGGGGCGCTGAGGACCTCTTTGGGTCAGGGGACTGAGCATGGCAGGCCTGGGTTTTCAAATAGGGATTGTGGAGCTTCGTGGTCTACAACCTGGGCCAGAGCAGTGGTCTTTGAATGTTAGTGTTTACAGCCTGTCAAAGCCTTGGTTCAAGGACATATGAATACTGGCCTTTCAGCATGGCCTTATTGGTGTCTATCAGATGTGGTCCTGGGAGGAAGCAGCACATTAAGATTGGATAATTTGGGGTGTAGGAGCAGGTATAGGAACCCTGAGGGACTGAAGCCTTTCTACCCTATGCCTGAAGGAGGGAGGAGAGCCAGTTCTAGAACCTGGAGATGTGGCCTTGCTTGTAGGTACATATGCAGCCAGCTGTGACCTCAGGCAGGAGCCGAAGGCAGATTCCCTCCATTCTTCCCTCTTCCGTCTCCTCCATGCCCCCGGGTACTGCAGGAGCCAGAAGATGTCCAGCCCAGGATCTCACCCAGTGGGGCCAGCTGACGCATGCCAGTGGAGCTCCAACGCTTTGTGTGGCAGAACCCAGTGTTGCCACACTCTGGTTTGTCACTGGTGGCTGTGTGCTAACATTGTTTCAGAAGATGACCCCTCAGGCTCTGTGCTACCTAGAACACTGGCCCTTCACATTTGTGATGCCTGACACACAAATGTGTGCCTCAGGCTGTCCCTTGGGGAGAGGGGCGGGCTTGGGGATTCAAGAGACAGAACTTGATCTGAAGAAAGCAGAGCTTGCCCCTAGAAAGTGGCCACCAGAGAGTTGTGAATAAGTCCCCATGAATTGGGCTCCATGTGGAGGGCTGATTAAACTAGGAAGCCGTCATAATCCACCCAGTGGCAGCAGTTTATGCTCTCCCTCCCCACCGTCTCAGTCTGGTTCACACTCCCTCCCTCTCCACTGCTGGAGAACTGAAGACACCCTTGAGAGGTTTTCTAAACTCAATACCTACCCAAACAAAAAACCTCCCCTCCCCTGCAGGAGCTGCAGTACCCCCCTTGCTTTGTCTCCCCTCCCAATACTGTAGTGCTGTCGATGATTTGGGGCAGGGATCTAGCTAATCTCAGCCTCAGGTGTTTCAGAAATGGGCAGTATGTCTGTTTGAAGTGAATCAGCAGTCTCGGAGCTCTGTGGTGGGTGCATCTGGCGCTACAGAAGGAGTCCTGGGAGAGGAGCCGTGGGGGGGCCTTGCGCACTCCATTGAAAGGGTAGCTTTCAGAGCACTGGAAGAGATCCATGTTAGGGAAATGACTTGAAGCCAGCATGGACCGAATAGAGAAGGAGCTGGCTGTTGGGGTTTTGCAGCACTGAGGGGAGGGAAGAAATGAGTGAGCACCCACCTGGCCTTTGAAAAAGAAACCCAGCTTAGTTGGGAGGGGCTGGCAGGGGATTATCCTCTTTGTCACTCACCTGAGTGGACATATGACAAAGGAGCACCCCCTCCTGGGAAAGGAGAAGGGAAATAAAAATGTCCAGGTAGTGGGTGGACAGGGTGGGCCTCAGGCTCCTTGTTCTCTGTCTGTCTCAGTGAGCAGCTTGTCTGCCCTGTCTCTTGTGTCTTTTGTGACCATAGCAAGCTGTGAAACCAGCCCAGACACTCAAGGGGATGAACAGCTTGCCAAAGAGATGGGGATTTTTTCCTGTGTGGGAGGTTGTGAAGTTCCTTTTGTTAAACAGTTCCCTGGTTTCATCCCAAGTGACAGTTTTTAGGGCACATCCTTTCATATACCCAACCATGAAAATTTCCATTTCCTCTTTTTATTCAGCAAAGAAAGCTAGAGGCAGGGGTCCCTGGTACATGCCTGTAATACCAGCTCAGGAGGTAAAGACAGAAGGATTGAGGTCCAAGGCTGGCCCAGGCAAATATGGGAGACACGATCTGAAAAATAAAAATGAACTAAAGGAAAATGGGTTGGAGGCCTAGCAAGTGCGAGGCCCTGAGTTCAAACTCAAGTACTGCAAAAAAATAAATAAATAAATGAAGAAAGCCAGAGGCAGCCACGTCAGCAGACTCTTCAATGAATGGGTGGCAGGTACTTGTAAGACATGGGGACATGAAGATCCTTGAGCAAAGGTCCTTTATTAGGCTGCTTGCCGCCTAGGGCTCCAGGGTGACAATAGGGCCACCTAATGAGCTCAGGCGGCTGCTGCAGGAACCTGGCTTTAGAAACCATGTGTAGATGCTTCTCTTGAGAGCTCTGTATCAAAAAGAGCAGGCAAACACGTAACATCTGTTACTTCACTTGAGCTTAAGCAGAGAGCCCAGTGCTCATCTCAGCTCTGTGAACCTTCCAAGCAGAAGGCTCTTGAGTACCTTTTCACCACCAGCACCAGTGTTGTCAGAGCCAGCTGTGCCCAAGACCAGAGTTCGGATGCCCTTTACCCGAGGCTGAGGTCTAGTTATCCAGGGCTTAGTCCAGCTTTGGCCTCAGCAGGATCACAAAAGGAATTTCAGCTCCAGAGCAGGAGGGAACTAGGACTAGTCACACAGCCACAGCCAGGGTCCAGAACAGATATTCCACCCTGCTGCCCAGACCCCTGGCCTAGTACTGCCAAGGGCTCCATGCTTTACCTGTGTCATTTCCCCCAGATGAACTCAGGGAGGCTCAGAGAGGTTTAATAACTTTCCCAAGGTCACCCACCTACTAAGTAGCTTAGGACTGGAGCCTGGGTCTTCCTAACCCTCTTATTCCCCTGATTCAGCCAAGACCTTCTCCTTGGTTCTTGACACCTGTCATGCCTTTCCTCACTCGTGGTGTGGTCACAGTTTTGTGGATGTATCGCTCAGAATCCTGGCACTGGTCCTGGACTGAGTTGATCTGGCAGTGTGGCTGGCCAGAGCCCCTGTAGGAGGCAGGGAAGGGCCCCCCTCGTATCCTGACCCTGGCCCCCTACAGGCCCCCTCTTACTACTTCCTGTTGGGTACAGGATCTTGAGCTGCTGCCAGGCCATGCCCCAGTCCAGTCCAGTCCCCAGTCCCTGCTCCTCCTTGTCCCACATCCCCGCCCCCCCATGCTGGAGATCACCCCAGCATGGCTTGCTGCTGATGGATCTGCACTGGGACAGGGCAGTGGAACACAGGACAGAGTGGGGATCAGAAGTCTTGCTCCCAGCCCCACTAGGCATGGACTGTGAGTCAGCCTTCCTGAGTCTGTATCCCTCATCTGTAAAAGGACAATAAAAGTCCCAGAGCTATGACTGTGTGCCATTGAGAGCCCCCCAGAAGTGACCCCTCCCCAGCCCACACAGGACAGAGCCCTGCCACACCTCTCAGTGGGTGGATAGGTATACACCCTCTGCTTCAGCCACGCAGTGGAGAAAACAGCAGCCTTGGCCCGAGATGATGACCTTGACTTCAGACTGCCCTGAGCTTGTCCCTAGAGGAGAGTGACAAGAGATGTCAGACATGGTAGTAGACCCTCAACAAAGTTGATTCTCTTTCACTTGTTGCTGCCGCCTCAAGTTTCTAATGATGACCAGCTACTTCCCTGTGGCCAGTTGTGCGCTGTACTTCATGCCCAGTACCCACCCTTTGCCTGGACCTAGGCCTAGCAGCTGCCTGTGCCTCCAGTTCTGAGGTTGTTTGATGCCATGCATGCCTGCCCTGGGGGCAGGTACACCAAGCATAAAGTTGGAAAGTCAAGATCCCAGAGCAAGCCCTGCACTTTGATTCTTGGGCAAGCCACACCATTTTTTCTAAGCCTCACCTAGAAAAATGGGCACCCCAATGCCTATGTCTCACACACTTCCCTGTAGACAGGACATGTGACATCCCCAGTGGTCTTGCCCAGCAGCTCCCATCCTTGCTATACTGGCCTAGTCCTACTTCCTGCAGCTTAACCAGGACAAAATGTTCAAGTGCTTCAGGGTTTCATATGTTCTTCCTACTTCCTTCTAAGACCCTTACATCCTTAATCTAGGGTCCTTGGGTGGAATGAGGACCCCTGAGGTCATATGCAGCAGTGTGGGTACCTTCCTGGGGAGAGAAGCTATAGCTTTTATCAGATTATCAAAGGATCCATGTCCTAAGATGGTGTCAGAGCCTCTGGAGGCCAGGCTACAGGTGTGCCTGGACAGGGAGAATGCTAAAGAGCCAGGCTGCATTATTTTGAACCCTGACTCTTGCTAGACAGTGACCTTGGGCAAGTCTCTTAAGCTCACTGTATAAAGTTTTAGTGAAGATAAGTGAGTTAATCCACATGGGGCTTATCATCCAGGCTGGAGAACTGCTTGTCTTCCTCATCACACAGAGAGACGGCAGGGCAGGGTTCTTCTCAGCACTGTTCCAATGAAGAGAACTGAGGGGGCCTGTCTTGGTCCAGATCCTCTGCTTTCAAGTACATGAGTCCCACCATCCATGGGTGAAAGATCTCACAACAGAGAGGAAGCTGAATGCCACTCTCAAAGGGTGGGGGGAGGGTGCCCTTTGACAAGGCTGGAGAGCAAACTAATCTGCTCCCAGTTTCTATCCTGGTCAAGTTGTGAGAGCCAGTCTTAGGACACGGAATGCAGGAGATGGCTTTGGACATGAATCAGAAGCCACACATCTAGAAGGGCCTGCTATGCTGACTGTGGCTTCTTCCTGGTGGCCTTCTTGAATCCCTGTCTAATCTGATATCTGGAGGAACAGAGGAGCCACTGCCTATGGAGCAGTGTGAACCAGGGCATTAATGCATCAACCACACTCTGAGCAAGCATTATCTCTGCACTTTAGAGGAGTCAAAACAGACTCAGGCACGCAGCTCTAAGTGGCAGAGCTGAGCTGCAAACCAGTCAGCCACCTCCAGGATGCAGCTCCTGAGGCTTCCCACAGCAGCGGGCTCATCAGAATCCCCCACAGTGCCAGGTAGAATGCAGAATGCAGAGGGCTGAATCCACCCCGAGAGCTTCCCATTCCCTAAGATGGCGGGACCCGAAAAATTCACGTTTCCATCAGTGGTGCTGATGCTACTGGTCCGAGAACCCCGCCTCCAAGAACCACTGTGCTCCCAAAGACTGATGAGGGGCTGTCAGGAGTTTGCCCCTGGCCCAGGGATAGAGCAAGGGCTTCATCTGCTCTTGTTCCAGCTGAGGGCTCACAGCTAGAAAGTCCTTAAAGGAGCCAATGCACTGTGAACACTCACTCAGCCTTCCACACACGGTTGCAGATTTGGGCGGGGTGTGTGTGTGTGTGTAATTCTGCATTTTTAGTGCCACGTGAATCATCTCCATGGATGCCCAAGGTTGGTGCCCAGTGGCTTCCCCCTCAGTTGCATCTTTCCCACCTGCTCCCTTCAGCTGAGGCCCACCACCATGAATATTCAGGCGGGAAAGGGGAGGGAGTGAGGAAATAGGTGGGGAGGGGCAAGTGTGAACTGAGGAGCTCAGTCTCACTTCTCGTAGGCATTTCTGAAACTGGGGGGCATGGGGTGGGGGTAGAGAGCTGCCTCCTGCAAGGATAGGGTCCCATCTCATACCTGCTCTGGAGTTCATTAGCTTCTGAGGTGATGTTCACGGTTTTTTTCATTTTGCTGAGTCTGTTGAGACTCAAAAAGGGAAATGAGCCATTACCAAACACCAACACACTTTGAAACAGAAACTGAATCGACTGCATTTTCTCATAATGTTTTGTGAGCTAAGAATGTAGAAGTCTGGCCTTGTTTTATCAAAGTTATCTTTCCAAAGATGGCTCTCCAGGGCCTGTCTTCTGTTCATAAAGCCCCTGTGGAGGGAGGAGGCGGGGTCAGGTGCCAAATGCACCAGGCTGGTTGGTGCCATGCCAGTTGGTATTCAATGGCTGGCCCTTAGCCTGTTGTGAGGGTTTCAGGAAACTTCCCTTTCCATTTTTTTGCTGCTGAAGATCATCAGGTTCTGCTCTGTTGGGTAAAGA